ATGTTGTGGCCCCTTCACTTTTGTGGCAATATTAGGGCTCTTTTATTTTGGTCTTCACTCTTCCACCTGCGTCCAAACGCATACCAGAACCAAATAATAATAGTTGCGTCTTCACACGGCTATTCCTTCCATCAAAGTTGAGAGAATTACAAACTAGTCATCACCAAACTATAACTCTCTCATTTTTCCCTCCCCCATAAAAACATGGGTCCACTGCTGTAATACATGCACCCCTCACCCCTCTCTCTGCCATTGCCAGGTCAAAAATCTCACGTGACACAGTACACCATATTCTGCACCACATCTCAGTTTTTGACTTTCTTCATTTAACCAACCTCACATTGATTAGAAGCTTCACTTTCACTTTTTAACCCTTTAACTTTTCTAATTCCCAACATTTATGCATATACATACCATCACATATCATTATTTTCAGATTTATGACCCTTCTTTAGTAAACAATGATGGTTTTGATGCAAGTGCTTGATCTTAATTATTACCATTTGTGCCTACATGTATGACTTATGCTCATATCTATTGACCTCTTCCTACTGACTTTCACCTTTGCGATCATTTCTTTTGACGTGTATATATAGAATTGTTAATTAGTAGGAAATCTATGACCTTTTCTCAGTGTTTCCTTCTTTTCAAGTCATTTTCTTCAGAAAAGAAAAGGGCGAGACAAGCATCAGCAAGCAGAGAGTCCCATGATAACAATATTGAAATTGATAGAGCACACAAAGGGACCATACATGGCCACTTACAAAATCCCCTTTTATATTATTTATAGTCACACCCATAAACATCCACAGGGTGAGTTCAGGATCTTCAGAGATTGGGGTTTCTATGATGTGATGTGTGCCAGTTATCTATTTGGTTAACTCAAAATCAACACAATCCCAAATTCTTTTAGGGGACACCAGTACGGTCTTGTACATGTTTTGCAGCTTATTGGCTCCGTCGCCTATTCTTCTCATAAAATACACTTGCATTAAAAAATTAGTCACCTGATCATAACTTAATTTGGCAGATTTTGTCACCATTAATTTATTATATACTTGTTTAATTACTATATTATGTCATGCATATCTCCATTGTTTCTCTACTGAAACATCTTATCCAAAGTAATTGAATTCCGCGTCACCATCATCATGCTCATAACCTCTACCTTCTTAAGTAACTCTAGGATTCTATAATGCTTTTACTTTTGCAAATCATATGCCAAGCCACATGCATCCAATTATACAATATGAGTTATAGTTACATCCTAAGTAGGAATTTGAACCATCTAGGTTTTTTTTGTCCTTTAATTAAATGTATCTTCTAAATAATAATAATCACACATAAGATATAATTTACCTGTATTATAGCTAAACAATTTTTTTTTCATTTTTCTTTGACTTTTTGTAACAAATCATTTCTTTTTTCCTGTGTCTCCCTTTTGAAAAATCGGAAATTTAGTTTATGGAAGTACACGAGCGATTAGGGCTATTTTAATGAGAATTTTTAATTAGAATTATTTAAAAATAAAATTGAATGTTTTATTATAGGTTCTACTTTAAAACATTATCAGAGTTATTTATTTAAATAATTTTTTTTATTTTAAGTAATTTTTTTCTATTTTTAAATAATTTAGACGTAAGATTCATAATGAAATATTTATTTTTATTTTTATTTTTATGTAACTCTTGATAACCATTCTTATCTTATCGGAGATACTTAAAAAAAATCAATTACCTCAGAAAAATATAGTAATTGATTTAAATAGAATTATCCAATTTACTACATATTTACTCTGTTTTCTCGTATAAGAATTTTATTTAGATTCAAATAAAATCATTTTCTGCATAAAAAGACAATGTTGCTCAGTACATGGTCAAATGTTAGACTCTTTCAACGGGAATTCTTCTGCTTTTTTCAGACACAAATTATTAGAATTTACAAAATTATAGTTATAATCAAAATCTACAGTACATCTCTAAAAAATTTCATAACGAAATTTCAAAATTTCTTCACTATATTCTTGGTAATTACTAAATTGGGGAAGAAAAAGAGAAGAAACAAGAATTGTTAAGTGTTTTTTTTCCTTAAAGGAAAGCGATTTGCAAAAATGCAAGTATATAAGAATAATACTTAATGTTATTTGAAAAAAATTGCAGTTTAAGGGATTAAAAAAAAAAAAGAAAAGACAGAACACAAGCACATTGGCGTGTAGAAGAGCATGGATGTACCTTTACAAGTACAGGGTGAACTATTGAGAGTTCTGACATGTGAATATTCAGTATCCATCAATGGAGTAACTGAAGGCACCCTTTTAGTCTGGTTTTCACAAGTGTCCGCGGGAGATCCAACGTGCTTTTACTAGCGGTGAAAACGGAAAACTTGGTTGTTAATGCAACTGAGGCAAGAACAAAAAGTTGGCATGAGTTTTCACGAAAGAATCCAAGACAAGTATGAAATAAATACTATTGACATTGATCTCTACGAGAATGACATGTTCATTATTAAAAGGCCATTCATAGAAACTTTGAAATATATATATATATATATTGTATTAAAAGCGCGCCTACCATTATATATATATACACTATGTTTGCTTTGCTTTATGGATGGATATGATACCAGAGGTAGCTAAATGAATGAATGTCCCCAACTTCGAAATCTGTAGTCCTATTAACATCAAAGGCCTTAAATTTGTCACTGCTCATTCTTACACAATAATAGTTACTGATGGTGATTGAAAACTTCTAAAGGCTGGGATGTAGAAAATAGCCGTTGCACTTGAGAATTTTAATAAATATGGTTATTCTGTGTCTTTCCATGTGAATGATGGGGTTACCTCAAACAAGCTGGAAAGGGTTATTACTAATTATTTATTCGATCGTGCATTTCCTTCTTTGTCCACTTCTTTATACTCTGGGCTTGTTTTCACACATCCAAGTCAAATGATTCTTTGATTACCTTCAAGATTTGTTGAGAGAGAAACTGTGACAATTACAGGGTTTCATTTTTGGGATAAGAAAAGGAGAGAAGGGATAGATTAATTTCTCAAAGAAACAAGTAGAAACTAATAATAATACTATATCAAGTTCTTGACTTGTTATTTTATTTCATTTTGTTGATCATTGTGATATGCTGATGTCTGCTAGTATAGGTCGATGCATGAGAGCCAAGAAGGGACCACTTACTTAGGGGCTCATGATTCATAGACACATCATACATGCACTTGATTGGGACCCCTTGCTTTTTTAACTCTCTCTTTAACTTTTTCTCTTTTTCCGGTTACACTTTTAATCTGCTAAAATTTACACACTGTAGGGTAATAGGTAAAGTTTAAGAGATAATAATGCATTAATAAATAAATAAATAAATCTGAGAGATAATCATTACAATCAAAATACAACTGTAAATAATCTGGAAAATAATTTTGTCAAATATATTTTCAGCTTTGGAAGCATTAAAGTTGGTGTTATGGTAGTTGGTTCTGCGTTCCTTAGCCATTTAATTGCTTTATCTTCAAACTCAGGCATCCAACCACAAAAAATTCCCAAATAAGTAGATGAGAAAAATATGGAAATTGTGAAAACGACAAGAAGATATTTAATGGAGAAATGAGCAATGAGATCCCTCCACCCGCTTCTTGTCCATCATCATCCTCCTTTTTTTTTTTTCTTTTTCTTTTTCTTATTAAACAAACAATTAATTGAGCTTTGCGGAAGGAGACGTTTCCTCGTTTTTCAGCTGTTTGTATCTTCTGACACACCTTGATTGCATTTTCATTATATATTTTTTATAGATTTCTCAGCACAGAACTGCTCTCTCTCTCTCTCTCTCTCTTCAAAAGTTCTTTGTTGCTCATCAAAGGGTGCTTGGCTTGTGCATCAAATGATTTGAAAAGAGAGGGTCAAATCAAAAGAAGTTCCCCTGTTTTGATCTATTCATTTCACAGGTACTTTTTTTTTTTCAAAAGAAAAAAAAAAGCCACTGAGGCATGTTCACTTCATTGTTCTCACGAAATCCCCCCAACCCAGAATTTCATATAATAAAAAAACAATTTTTTTTAAAAGAAAATGATCATAAATGTGTGGATAATGAAGTGAACAAAGATGGGCATCTTTTTCCCAAGTCTTTTTTAACCATCTCTCTCTTCAACTCTTTTTTTACCCTTTTCAGTTGGGGTGGAATTGCAGCGGATTTGAGTCTGACAGAGAGCTTTCCTCTTTGCAAGTGAAGCGACTGATGAAATCCCAAACATAGATAGATATATACATAGATCACGTATGCACGTTGACAGGTCCGTTTGATCCATCAATTTCTTTCTGCTTTCATGTACGTTTTCGCTAGCCATAACTGTTTTGCTTTCATGGTTGAGACTAACTGTTCCTGTGCGTCCTTCTGTCTCTCTTCTCGTACTTCTCAGCTAACTGCAAATCAATTTCTTCTTTCCCTTGCAGTTCAAAAACGATCATGAAGCACGTGCGCACCCCAATTTCCCTTCCACCTGGTATACTGCAGCTGCCATATCATTTCATTCCATTAACTAATACAAACATAATGAATTATCCTTCAAGTTTTTGTTTAAAACTTCAGGAGACACCATGACTAGACCATGCACAAAATGACTTAATTTGGAATGAACTACTAAACACGATCTAAAATATTATTATTCAGGTTCAATTTTCATCGGTTTCTCCACTTTGTTTTGTTTGCTCAGGATTCCTTGGAGAGAGAAGCTACCTACCCAGCTGAAATTATTGGGAGTTGTGTTGATGGGTTGATCCAGAAATCGTTACAAGATTCATCGCAGGTACGGCACAAATACAACTACATGTGTTAGTGAGGTGCTTGTTTAGGTTTTGTGTTGGGAGTTGGGACAAAGGGTTCTGACTTTGTGGTGGCATGCGTTGGATTGGATGTGAACTTTGAAAGCATACAGCGTAACTAACGTGGTGATAGTGCTCTCTTTTCAGTGAAGTAACAGCATATTCTACCCCAAACCGATGGCGACATACTTTCATCATGGTAACTCCGAAATCCAATCAGGTGCCGCCGACGGACTCCAAACACTTGTCCTCATGAACCCCGGCTACATCCACTACCCTGACGCGCCGCCGCAGCCCTCGCCTTCACACGCTGCAGGAAATCTCGTGTTTCTCAACCCCGCCGCGGTTGCCGGCGCCAACAGCAACAACTCCTTCAACCCTCACGCGCCGCCCTCTCACACCCAACAATTCGTTGGAATTCCCCTCCCCGCTTCCCAGGACCTCAACCATCACTCCATGCACGCGCACCATGACGTCTCGGCCCTGCATGGCTTCCTCCCGCGCATGCAGTACAATCATTGGAACGCGCTCGACCCGGCCTCGGCGGCGCGTGATACTCCACGCGCGCAGCAGGGGCTGTCACTGGGGCTGGGGTCGTTCAGGGAAGGTCATGCGCCGGGCATGTCGGGCGACGACTTGCGCGTATCCGGCAGTTCGCCGTCGTCGGCTTCTGGGGTTACCAATAATGGAGCTTCGGGCATTCAGAGTTTGAGCTCAAAGTACTTGAAGGCAGCGCACGAACTTCTAGAAGAGGTTGTGAATGTTAACAATGGGATTGGCACTGAGTTGAGGAAAAAGAGTGGGGCACAGACCAAGGTGATTGGAGAATCATCAGCAGCAGGTAGTGGAGATGGTTCAGTTGGTGGGGAAGGGAACGGAAAACGCAGCTCTGAGCTATCAACGGCAGAAAGACAAGAAATTCAGATGAAGAAAGCCAAACTAATTGGCATGCTTGATGAGGTATGCGTTGTTCACTTTAACTACAGCATGTTTGGTTAAACTTCTCATGTGTTTTTCACAGTTATGATGTGTTTTCATGTTTATTAACAACTCATAATAGTTATAACTTTTAAATTTTAATTGGATTTTCTTTTTTTCAACGAGTTTTAAGTACACCGTTGGTGTTTTTGGCTTTTAATGTTGATATAAAACTAGTGTTGGAGCTGAAATCATAGCGTCATCTTATGTAATGAATAATGAATTGGGTTGAGCCTGATAAGAAAAGAATAATTCAGAGTAAGACATATATAGTTCGAATTTACGTAAAAAGAAGTGTTTATTTTAATTACTTCTGGTGTTTCAAACAGAATTCTTGCTTAAAAAAAGGTGTTTTGTTAAACGTATCTGATAATGTCTCACTCAGGTCTGTTTCTGGAAAAGAGATACGTGTCACGCCAAAAAGAATCTAATCTAATGATTAATGCATGAGAATTCAGAATGATTATGAATTGCATGGTTATGGTTGGTTGCAATTACTTAAATATTTGTGACAGTTGAATGAATGGATAGTTTATTGATGTGATATTTTTGTTTGAAGGTGGAGCAAAGGTACAGGCAGTACCACCAGCAGATGGAGATTGTGGTGTCGTCGTTTGAGCAAGCTGCGGGGATTGGGTCTGCGAGGACATACACGGCTCTTGCATTGCAAACAATCTCCAAGCAGTTTCGGTGTTTGAAAGATGCGATTGCAGGGCAGGTTCGAGCTGCTAACAAGAGCTTAGGAGAAGAAGATTGCTTTGGAGGGAAAATAGAAGGTTCGAGGCTCAAATATGTGGACCATCATCTAAGGCAACAACGAGCTCTCCAACAATTGGGAATGATCCAGCACAATGCTTGGAGACCCCAGAGGGGATTGCCTGAAAGATCTGTTTCGGTTCTTCGTGCCTGGCTCTTCGAACACTTCCTCCACCCGTAAGCACTTTACTTATAATAAAAACTCTCTTCTAACTTCTTCAAAAGTTGAATTGCTCGAGTTCATCTTATCTTGTTAGATAAGCTCAATTCATTTTAACTTCTTGATTCTCTTACAATGAAAAAGTTTACAATATTTTAAATGATGACCACAGTTTACTTCAAAGATTATGCACATTGTGCTGAAATACTGAGTTTTGTTCCAGTTATCCCAAGGACTCGGACAAGCACATGTTGGCAAAACAAACAGGGCTAACTAGGAGCCAGGTAACTAACAACATACTAATGATATTTGACTCATCCATTTGATGAATGGTTCTTCATCTTGATAGTGTTTGGCGTGTGACAGGTTTCAAATTGGTTTATAAATGCTCGAGTTCGGCTTTGGAAGCCAATGGTGGAGGAAATGTACTTGGAAGAGATGAAGGATCATGAACAGAATGGGTCTGAGGATAAATCAAGCAAGAGCAATGAAGATTCTTCTACGAAAATGGCAGCCCCACCAGAGAAAGGTCCTTCCAATGAAACCGAGGCTAAAAGCTTCAATTCCAAACAAGAGGCTTCAAAGGGCCAGAACACTGCTATGGTTTCAGTTTCTAGACCATCAACATCACCACTTGGTGGGAATGTGAGAAACCAATCAGGATTCAGCTTCATGGGGTCATCAGAGCTAGAAGGGATCACACAAGGAAGTCCGAAGAAAGCAAGGAACCATGAGATGATGCATTCCCCAAATAGTGCCCCTTCAATGAGCATAGATGTGAAGCCCAATGAGGCAAACAATGAGCAGCTCCCAATGAAATTTGGGGATGAAAGGCAAGGCAGAAATGAATCCTCTTTCATGGGAAACCAAACAAACTTCGTTGGTGGTTTTGGACAGTACCCAATTGGGGATATTGGAAGGTTTGATGCAGAGCAGTTTGCACCAAGGTTTTCAGGTAATGGTGTTTCCCTCACTCTTGGTCTTGACTCATTACCAGGAACCCATCAAACATTTCTCCCAAACCAAAACATTCAACTTGGAAGAAGCTTGGACATTGGCGAACCAAATGAGTATGGCAGCATAAACACTTCCTCTCCTCGCTCTACAGCTGCTTATGAGAGTATCAGCATGCAAAACCCAAAGAGGTTTGCTGCACAATTGTTGCCAGACTTTGTAACCTGAATAAGACATTGAAAGGTGAACAATGTGATTTGCTTCTGAGCCCCTCACAATTTCTTCTTAGTTCCCTGCTTATGTGGGGAGTGGTGAACAATTGTAGTGTAAAGAAAGAAGGAATTTTACTTTAGTATAAGTTTATACCCTGCATAGAACCATTTGAGTTCTTAGATAGCTTAGGATTTGAAAGTATATGGTTGAGGTTGTATATTATTTTTGTAAGTTCTGAAGGTGGGATAGAAGGATTGTTGTCATAAACTTTATTTTGGTAAAAGATACCAATATATCTTCGATTGAAAATATATGTTGTGATATATTTTACATACTGAAGAAACCAGAACCAATTACGATATAATATATATTCTTTTTAAGTACAATGTCCATAAAAATGAAATAAATGAAAGCAAAATTTAGAAGGTTTATACGTTTCATAAATGAAAATAAAAATAAAAATGTGAAAGCAAAATTAGCCACTGAAAGTTCTGGGTTTCAGGACTCGTGAAATCACGTTTGAAACCATAGTTTTCATTTGCCATAGCAAGAAATTCAAGGTAGAGATACAAATATGCACACGTATACTAAAGGCACCTGTTTTGGGCTAAACTAGTTTACTTAAACTCCCTCTGAATTAGTAATAAAAAATGTAAAAATTTGTAATAAATGTCAATTAATCCCCAAATTATTTTTTTAAAGATACATTTCACTATCCAAATTCATCTTCAAAATATTTAATGTAAACTTCATAAATTACACCGTTTAAAAGACTGCACATTTAAAAGCTAATACGACTAAAACTAAATCTATCAGATCAGAGACCATCGTACAACATTTTTTCTTGCTTGAATGAAATGGTGGAAAATAAGGATAAATGCAAAAACCAAGAAAAGTTGATCGGTTAAATTGTGGAAGATCTTTGGGAACATGTGAGGAAAAGCTACGTAAATCAAAGCGATATTATTTTGAATAAGAATATTGCAGTTTTGGCCAATGACATGAGATTTCGTAGGTTAAAGTTGTTGGTAAAGATTTTGATCTCACCCCCACCATAACTGACAGTTGGCATGTCAATTTAACACAGACATGCAGAAGACACTCATATGATGATTGTCCAAAACTGGTACACGATAGCTACACTCTTCGAACACGCATTCAAAACAACATAAATTGGTTTGACCAAACTTAATCAATGTTTGATACAATCTCAATCAACTCTCTCCAGTAAACTTACATCCAGTACATTATATTTATGATAAGATTCTAAGGAGAGCTACACCACAAAGAACACTGCTTCAGGCCTAATAAACCTCACAATAGAATCCCATGCTTTCAATGTCAATTTCAGTCTCAGCATGAAACAATTTAATATCCTAAACCCATTCATTGTTCAGTGTAATCGGTCAATTAATTGCAAGTTTGGTTGATGTCCACATTTTTGGAGTTGATCTATAAATAGTCAATTGATATCAAAGTAAGTCAATATTATTCGAAATTTGGTCAATTTCCAAAAATTTAAACTGATTTCACAGAGCATTAACACTATTCTTCTATGGATATTATTAAATGTAATATATGGTTTTTATTTTATTACTGATAGGTTGATCTAATTAGAGAGATCAATAAGTTGAGTGAATCTCAATCTAAGACTAAAAACAATTTCTTTTGTTGAACTAAAATTTCTAAGCTATAAAATCACCTACTAGTGTATTATTCTCTTCATAATAAAATATTAAAAAAATATCAATTTCACAGTAATTGAAAAAGTCACTAACATCATTTAATTTCGCTAATTACAATAAAAGATAATTTTCTTTTTAGCATCGAAACGTAATATAAGGAATAGAAATTAAAAATAGAATCACAAATAAATAAAAAATATTTTATAAAGGGTTAAATATTATCTCCATCTCTGGTCCTATATACCTACCACAGAAACCCTACCAATCAAACCCTTCAATTCATTAAAATGTGTATTTGTGCGCGAATGAATGTCAATTTATGTTACTATCTTTGCAGCTAAATTTGATCCTCTTGCAGAAGATGTAGCGATCAGGATTTGGGAAATGAAATTATTTTCCACATGACGAAGAAATTTAAATTCCAATCTCCGTAGCAATTACTCTCTATTCTCACACAAACTACTCACTTTCTATTTTATCTTTTACCTTCATTGCTGCTCCTTGGAACCAGGGAGAATTTTCCTTTGGGGGTTTTTCTCTTCTCCTTTTCAGTCAAAATGATTTTTAACAAACCAAGCTGCACGACCTGTCTTGAGCAACATCTCCATGTAAATACAAATGCCCAAGCAAAACCAACGTCAATAGGATTAGAATCATGATTTTGCTTAGTATGTATGAAATAAATTATTTAAAAAATACATCCTTTACAGTTCATAGTTAGAAACTACAACATTTTACAAAACTCTTCAGCATAATTTACATTGAATTGTTGAGAACTGGAGATTTTAAATGCCTCCAACAAAATTTTCCATTCATGTTAAAAGAGATGATTTCTTCTCAATGCCTTGACAAGGTAGGAATCTTGGATTAGCAGTCCAATATAAAGAAACAGAATTTGTGAAAGCCTCAAAATGAGTTGGTCATGCCATGCTCATCCCCTATCAATGATAGTCTTCTCTTAGCAACCTTGGACCTATAACACCATACTTCAAATGCCTCAGTTAGGTCTGGATACTGCATATACTCGTTATCCAGCCACTCAGTTAAGATCTCTGCCTGATCCCCTGACGGCAATGCAAGAATGATAGAGACGAAGGTGGATTCTAAGGATTGCCACATTTCACCATCTAATTTAAGTAACATGGCATTCTCACAATTCATTGTAACAGAATCAATCAATGGTTTTGTAACCCTCACAAATGGAAGCCATAATTTCAAAACATGAAGGCGTTTTGCAGTTGGCAATATAACAGTGCCATAACCAATTGCCTCTAAAACCTTTGATGTCACCTCAACAGCTCTTAACTTTATCTCAATGACTTCAGTTGTAGAACTTCCTTGCTCAAGAACCTTGACAATTTTTTCTGATGCATCAAACCAATACTCAACAAATTCTCTCATTATTTCCAACTTACTCAATATCTGACAGGCCCACGATAAATCAGTCAAATAGGATTGAAACAACTGAATATTCCCTGCCTCAGAGAGTGATTCTCTAGTACCATTGAAAAAAGCTGTTAATGAATCGATAAACCGGGAAAATAGTCTGTTTACACACGCTTTTACCTCGAGTTTTATGTTGTCATCAGCTGTCAATAATGGGGCATCATCATCTTCGGTTAGCATGTACTCAAGTTGCTCTTGTGCTGAAGATTTAAGATCACTCATATTTGGGGATGGGGATGATGTAGCAAATCGGATGGTAGAGACAAAGATGTTAATGATAGCAGACTGCTTAACTGGTTGGAGTCTAGCTAGGATAGGTTCAGCCTGTAATCCCATTCGAGGAACAATTTTCAAGATCTCTTCCTCCTCAGCCTCCTCCCATGTAACAGCTTCTAAGTAATTCACGCATGCATTTATAATCTGTGGGCATCCAAGCTCAACAGCGACCTGGAGAATGCCAAGGGCATTTCTAACACCATGCCACAAATCATCAACTGAACCATCTATGACAATGTAGAGAAGACGTATAAGATTTACATGGTAATCAAAATTCAACTCTTGGCAATAGATATCAACACAATTGCGCGAATCAAGGATCTGACATGTTGGCCAGTTCTCAGACAACCTATCAGCAAAGTACTTGCAATCTTTTACAAGAATCTCTGAGTGACAGTATAGCCAATCATCTCGACCTTCCGGAGTGCGTAGCCTCACAACAACATCACTAGTTGATCTGTCACCAATCACACGAGCAATTTTTTCTTCTTTATCCTGGATGAAAGAGGAGAATGTAATCACAAATAAGAGATAAAAGAGACTGCGAGATCATACATTTACTGAAATAACAATTGAAATCCGCAAGAGATGAACTCTGGCATCGACTATCTATTGACAAGGGTTTAAAAATGCGTCCGCCACCACTATTTCACCTTCAACATCAATGTTTTATAGGTGTATATGACTGCAAATGTAACTGCATTGGACGCATTTCTCTGCTATTTGCCAAAAACAAAGGAACGCAATTTAACCAACACTAAAATTTAAAACCTTGACCATTTTATGCCGAGGATTGAATCACTCCAATTCACAAATTGTGCTTGCGTATATAATTAAAGGTTTGATGTACATTGATGTAGCTAGGAAACCAACATACGAAAGAAGATTCTATAAAAACCTAATTTTTATTTTTATTTTTAATTTAATGCTTAATAAAGTGATATTAACAGTGATGAAATCTGATAGTGGAATAAAACAGAAGGGGGAAAGGGTGGAGATATAAACTTACAACAGGTTCCATTGAGATTAAGAGCACTGAGAAGCGATATCTCTACACCTGCAATCACAAAACAAGAATTAAAGCTGGAAAGAAGCGAAAGTAGCTGAAAGCCACATCAGTAAAACAGAGACGTAAGTAAGAGGCATGGGATCTTGAGAGAATTGTGGGTAACAATATGAAATTGATATAAAGAAATCATGGGAAATGTAAACAGTGAAAATAAAACGGGGAAAAATCGTGAACATATATATGGTGATGAAATTGATGTGATGAAATGAATGAGAGTTAGGAATGCGAAAATGAGAGGGTAAAGAAGTGAAAGAAGTACCGGATCTCTTGGGTATTCCATGTGAGTGAAAAGTGAAAAGGCTTCGGACTGAGGAACGATGATTGAAGAAACGAAGCAATCCTACACTCACATTCGCATCGCACTCTCCTACGCTCGTTTCCTATGACCCATTGCTTCTTCTTATCGACTTTAAACGCATCGTTGCGTTGCGTTGCGTTGCGTTTTTTTTTTTTTTTTTATGTTTTTCCCTTCCCCAACTTGCCAACTTGCCCAACTTGCATGGATATATGCATCATTCTATTAATTGTATGTAGACTTTTTTAATTCATCCTATCATCTTTTGAGAAACAATTTAATTATGGATACACATGTGCTGCTACTGTTTTTTTTTTTTTTAAGTTATGGTTTCACAAAGTCCTTCATATGATTACCATTTTAGATTCATATAAAGACTAAAAGAGTTTGATGTTTCAGATAATTATTGTAAAATTTAAACTATTTCATCAATATGCGCATTGATTATGTTTAATCCATGTTTGAGTAAATGCTTTATCGAAGAGACTGTTCAATGCTTTGATGCGTCATTGTCCAACAGGCCTATAGCCCAATGCCACATCCCCACTCTGTCTAGCACCACAATTGATACTGTGTCTATTTTACCCTTATTCACTATTGTAATTTTTTATATATAAAATAGCTTCATTGTTCTTAAATAAATTGCACCTTATTGGTTCTTGTATTGGGATATAATGGCTTATTGGTTGCATTCTCAATTCTTCATTTATCATAATTAAATATTTACCATAAACATATTCCTCAATTCATTTAATAAACTGGTTATACTTAAATTATTCTAATTACAGACATCCTCAGTTAACTTATATTATTTTTAAGATTATTATAATTAATTTAAATTCGTTACATTTTATAAACTCAAAATTGATTATCATTACTTAAAAACTTATAACCTTTATATTAATATTTTTTTATTAATTAAAATATTTTGAATAATTTATTTTTAACTTTAATATACAATAATATCATTTTTTTTAAATATACATCATTGCTTATTTTTATTTTTTTAACAACATAATATTTTTTTTACAATGTTATTTATTTTTTAAATAAAGTTCAAAATTTTAAGATTATTACAAATATTATATCTGGTCTTTATACATAATTCAAATTAATTTCCGTTACTTTAATTTTACAAACAAATTAAAAAACCATTTTAAATTTGAAAATAAATAAGAAAAAAAAACATTACAATAAAATAATTAATTACCAACTGAATAGTTATCTATTGATAAGTCGTCATCGAAAAATGATTAATTACCCGGATTTAAAGTATTGTAAAATTTAGTCTTACCGATGAATATATTTGTAAATAAATGAACAATTAATTACCAATAGATATATCTGTCAATAAATTAATAATTTGATAATTAACAATTAGTTACTAATAAATATATCTATCGGTAAATTAATAATTAGTTTTTGAAGAATATAAGTAAATTAATAATTAGTTACTGACGGATATATCCGTCAGTAAATAATTAAAATATATAAATATATTTATATTTATAAGATATACATTTTTTATATAAATATAATATATTTGTAAGTTATTATAAAAAAAACGTAGTAGCTTAGAAGTATATTTGTAAATTATTATAAAAAAAATCATAGTAGCTTAGTGATTGGATTATCGAGTCTCTAATTATAGAGTACTTGACTAAGATAACTCTTTTCATTAAATAATAATTCAAAATATAATAAATAATATGAATATAATATATTGCCCAATAACAGTTGTCATCACTGAATAATAATTCAAAATCATATAGAAAATTCAGTTATCTCCAGTCAATTAAGTATTTTTCTTATGTTATATTAGAAAAAAATTCATCCATTTTTGTTTAAAATAAAATTGCAAACTAAAAATGAAAGATTATTTTTTTATGTATGACTATGACGATTTCCTACATAATGTTGTGTTATACATGAGACCTTACAGGTTTTTATAGTGAAAAGAAAAGTCCTCTCTTTTACATATTAAAATGAAGAGTCAAGTAATCATATATTAACTAATGTAATATCATAACTCAAATATTCATAAACTAAAATATCAAAATTATTTTTCATAATTTATACTAAAGAAATTTCATGAAATAATTTCTTGAAGGTCAATAATGATTTTATAAATTCTATCTGAAAATATTAAACAATTCTTAATAAATAAAATTTACATTGATATATATATATATATATATATATATATATATATATATATATTAATTTCCGAGTCAACTATAATTTTTTAAAATCATTATTTCTGTCAACGCGTATGACATTTTTCATTTGGAATTATAAATAATTAGTATTAGTTGTTGACCACTTATTTAGGATATTTTCCTTTATTTTATTTCAATTTAAATAAATAAATTTATTTTTAAATCAATCTTCCTATGCCAAAACAATATTTTATCATATTACTAATAGATTTAAATATATTTTTAATCTTGTATGAGTGGTTTAATTTCAAGTTTATATTTTTAAAATTTTAAAATTAAAATTTATTAAATTTAATTATTAGTATTATATGATAGTAATTAACTACTATGTTAAATAAAAGCTAAAATGATCATTCCACGTACAATATATAATAAACGAACATGTATTACCTTAAGATTTGTAAATTAAATATTATCCATCTATCTTAAATTAATATTTGAGATTCAAATTAATAATTTCAATTCAAAATATTAAAATAAAAAAATATTCTAAAAGAATTATAACTAAAACTTGTATATTTTATAAAGATTAAAAAGAGAAATTTTAAAACTTATAAAATAACTTTTTTGAAAAAAAAACTGATTTTACCTAACTAAAAACATGTTTTATGCTCTTTCATATTTTAATTCCCTGTGGCAGTAAGTGTTGCACTTGTCACTAATTCTTTCTTCTACTTTTTTTCTTCTTCAAAAATCCTCTTGTAAATTTTCAATTAATCATTATTATATTTTTCTAAATTATATTGAATTTTTTTTCAGACTAGCATGTTTCACATGCCATATTAATCTCTTTCCAAATCCAAATATTTTTAAGATATATAAAACCTTGTCGTAAAATATTCTTTTCATATACCACATTCCCTTTTCACATCCCTTCTTAGACGCTTTAGAATGAATTATTTAATATTTAAGTCCTAAAGTTATTGATGTCATGTTTAAACACTTTTAACTCATGCATGAAACAACCTGACAATCACTTTCACATTATCAATTGCCCTCTAATAATAATATGCTCCTCGTCATCTCTGCTACTTCATATAAAAAAGTATGAACATAAATTAATGAATCACTTCCTATTAAATATATATATATATATATATATATATATATATATATTGTATTTTTACAATATATATGATAATGTTATATATTATAAAATAATAATATATAAGTAAACAAAATCAATATAATGACAAAAAAGTAATATATTTAAAAATAGAAGTTAATGTAAAAATGGTAGGTTTATTAGGTTTTTATTTCCTAAAATTTGGAGTAAATTCAATTTTTTTTAATCTAAGTTAATAAAAATAATCTCTCAAATGTTTTTAAAAAAGTAGACTTTAAATATCTTTTAAAAAATTATTTATAGTGTCTAGACAGTAAATTCAAGAGACTAATATTTATACTTTAAATCTGAGAGAGTATTTTTTTTCTGAAAAATTTAAAATAAAAAATACAATTAAAATTACATAAATAATTATCAATTGTTTAAACTTAAAATAACTATTTTAAAATAATTAATTTTAGAAAAATTGCATATTTAAAAAATAGATAAAAATTACTTTTTGAAAAAGTTAAAAAATTACTTAGGCCAAAAATAAACACAAACACACAACGAATATAAATCTACTTTATTTATTGAAATTTTTTATAAATGTATATAGAGAGAGAGCCCTATCCCCATCAAGCTCAGCATCACGACAGGTATTTAAACTTGAAGTTCTTTCGTCTTTATACGGTCGCGTGCTATAAGATGCAGTTGTAGCCGACAACTCCGTGGGCTATAATTTTCTTAATTTTCACCCACGTTTTTCTTTCTTTGAACACCGAACAGTCACTTCCAAGTTAGGACCTAGCGCATACTTGTCGATGTGCATCGTTTATATATGCAATCCACCCACATATATTAAACTACGTTTTCTAAATCAATTACCACTTTGCAAATTCTATTGATCTCCAGTATTTTGCATATTATTTTGGCCAACTAACTTGGTTTTAATAATGGCTGAAATTGAAGTTCCTCAGTATTTCATCTGCCCTATATCTCTTCAAATCATGAAAGACCCGGTAACCACTATGACTGGCATCACATATGACCGAGAAAGCATTGAGCAATGGTTATTCATCAACGAAAACACCACATGCCCAATCACAAGACAGCATCTCCCTAAAGACTCTGACTTAACCCCAAATCACACCCTTCTCCGTCTAATCCAAGCTTGGTGCACTCAAAATGGTGTTCATAGGTTTCCCACCCCCAAGTCATCACTTAACAAGTTTCAAGTCCTCAAGATTCTCAAAGACCTCAAGGACCCCAACTTGCAACTTATGAAGATCATGGAGTTGAAGTTCCTAGCATCTCAGAATGAGAGAAATAAAAAGTGTTTACTTCAAGCTGGTGTATCAAATGCCATGATCCTATTCTTGTTGACTTGTTTCAGAAAAGGGCAATTTGATAAGGGTGTAGAAGAAGCCCTTAGTTTATTGGAGCTTTTTGATGTGCCAGAAGAGAAAATAAAGGTTCTTCTAGAGGAAAACGATCAGATATTGGATAACCTAACGTGGGTTTTGGGCTGTGAGGTGGAAAAATATTCAGTTGCTGTGAAGTCCCATGCAGTGATGTTACTCAACACAATCGTGCAAAAAGCTAGCTCGAAAGTAATGGAGAGACTGAAACCTCAAATGTTTGAAACAATTGTGAAGATTTTAAGATGTGGAACAACCCAACAAGGAATGAAAACTGCTCTTCATGTCATGGTAAAGGCGTGCCACTGGGGGAGAAATAGGGTCTTGATGGTTGAAAGTGGTGCGGTTTTTGAGCTGATAGAGATTGAGTTGTTGGGGACACGTGAAAAGAGCACCACGGAACTGACCATGGAGATACTGTTTCATCTGTGTTCTTGTGCTGACGGAAGAGCTCAGTTTGTGAATCACAAAGGTGCCATTGCTTTGTTGACGGAGCGAATCTTCACGGTTTCGAAAGCGGTGGATGGCAGAATCGTGCTTATTCTTTCATTGGTGTTGTCTACGTTCTCTGCCACACGTGCGGTAGTTGAGGAAATGGCGGAGCTTGGAACTGTGTCGAAGCTTTGTAGGTTGGTTCATCATAGTGATGATCATGGCACGTATCTGAAAGACAAAGCAAGGGAAATTCTCGGGTCTCATGCTAACGTTTGGAAATATTCTCCTTGCATTTCTGATCATGTGATTAGAACTTTTACAAGAAGTTAAGATTTGTGTGTAAAGCAAGATACTTTTTTAAGCATGAATAAAAAATCCAAATAAAAAATTTGAAATCAATATTCTATATTGAGATTTGTTTTCCTTTCCTTACCCTCTTTTTGTGTATAAAATTTTGAGAAAATAAGCTGAGATTGTTTTACTTTTATGAATATTAATCTCTAAAAATTATTAATCATATGTTCATTGAGGTTTTTTTCCCTTTCCTTACTCTCTATTTTATGGATAAAATTTGAGAGAATAAGCTTACATTGTTTTACTTTTATGAATATTAATCTCATCAAATAGCAGTCATATTTAGAAATTGTTCTTCTTTAATCTATTTTTTATTTAATTCCTAATTACCTAAGAAGTCACATGTTATCATATTTTACGCAGAGACTTATATGATTTAAACAAGCTGAAGTAATTTTTAAATGAAAATTTAGCAAAAGTTATTTATTTATAAGTTAATTTTAATTTATGAAAAAGTATTTTTTTCTCATAAAAATTCTTAAAAATTTGTCCGACATCTGATCATTCTTCTGTAGCTTTATATATTAATATTCTCCTTTTATAATCAAGAAACAATAAAAAATGCTTTTCTTTATAATTACATTTTTACAGCATATATTATGCTGGTAAGATAAATGTTATATGTATACTCGACGGTAAAAAAAAATTGGTTCATTCTTTTTATGGATTCAAATTTATTAAATTAATTTCAAATTTTATTGACACAATATAATTTATGATTTTATAGTTTTTAATAAGTTTTAAGTAATGATAACAATATATTAGAAAGAGTCCTCATAAAGTGGAAATTAATGTAAGTAGCCTCAAGAAAATAGGGGCTACGATTTATGTTTTAGTTGTTTCATCACAACTAATAGACGAGTCTGTAAGAGAGCATTTAGGAGTATTGAGGAATATATTAATAAAATTATTATGAGTTCATACTTTTATATAATATATATTTATATCGCAGAATATTTGTAGAGATCTTTATCTCTTATTTTATATCAGAACCTTGTTAATATAAAGTAGAAGATGACGACAGAAATAGAAAAAATAAATCTTTATAGATATTTAAAATATTATTAAAATCCTCGTTAAAGGAAACTATTAATTAGTCCCAAAAATGTGACCATACTTCTAAATATTATGACAATCAAGTAAGATTTGAACTTATGAGGATAAAATAATAACCTAAGAGAAGATATATAACATTATTTCTTATAGCATTATTATGAGGAGTGAAGATATAAGATTAGGTTAATTTAACACCCGTATAGATGAGTCTTAATTCAATTTGGCATATCAAATGCAAAGACTGAACAATAAGAAAACTAATAACATAATATTTTTATTAAAAAAATGAAAATAAATTTAACAAAGGATAACAATGCACAAAATATTCATAAGAAATGTCTCCCTTAACAATAACGGCGTTGACTCTGGTCTTCGTGTGAGGAGCTTACTATTAAAAAAAAAAAAAAGGGAAATAAAAATATAGAAAAGTTGTAGGTTGCAGCTGACCGTTGTTCTTGGCCATGCAGTTTTTGACCTCGTAAGTTAGGGACCATTGGTTTAGGGTTCCACCTCCAACCACTTCAGTTTGAATGGTTAATTAATACTCAGTATTAATATTATGCCTAGTCACTTTTGAACTACTCTTAAGGAAGAATTGTCTTCTTTCTAAACCTACACAATCATTGTCAGAAAAATAGAAAGGATTCATTAATATGTTTTTAATATCATTAATGTTATTAAGAGTGGGATGAAAAGTATTATTAGTAGTGTAAATAAAATTAATCAATAAGGTACATTTTTTTGGTGAAAAAACATATTTTTAAAATTATGAATAATATTATTAAATATACAGTCGTTTTAATTATTATTTTGTTGTTTTACTTAGCTTGATCTTTGAAAATAAAAATTTCGAGGTAAAATGTTTAATCGCACTCTTTTTTACACACCTTTGTTTCTGGTTTTTAATCCGTGAATGGATTATGGTAACAATTGAACGAGTTTGACTATTCGTGCATGCGTTCACAAGTTTGATTAGACTAGAAGGGTCTTTGGTCTTCCTCACATTCCAAGTCAACTTATTATTAATAAAAACATCCAAGTATTAATATTTGTTTTTGAAATTGCAAAGTCAACGTAAATAGTTTCATAAACGTGTTATTATTATTTTTTGTTTTCCACTAATTAATAAATACTTTGTATATTTTGATTTTTTTTATTTAAGTAAAGCTTAATACTTGGGAAAGGAAAAATCATTTTAACTATAAATTAATTTTTGAAAGTAATTAATAAATTGAGAGTGATTAAATATTAAAAATAAAACGTTTAAATAATAATTAAGTCGCACATTATATAATTAAGACAAGATGGGACAACACATTCGCAAATATTTTTTCTTTTCATGTAATTATAATTGTTAATATTTAAATTGTATGAATTATTAACACTTAAACTATATTTCTAATTTCTTTCATATCAAACTTATATTTAGTCTTTCACATTTTGAAAGTTTTTCTCTTATTTTTTAATTCTATTTTTTTTTTGGTCTGTTAGAAACTAATTAATATTAAAAAACTATGATGGTCACAATTTAGATATTAAAGTAGGGTATTTAAAAATTAACGAATGAGAGAATATCACTTTCTTTTAAATAATAAAATACCAATTTGGATTTATCAGACAACAAATTTATTTGTGAAAATTTTGACTTAATGTTTTAATATTTGATTGGAGATAAATTTTTTTCTTTAATAATAGAAGAGATAAGACTTTTAGAATATTTGGAAAGGTTGCTCTGTTTTAAAATACATAAAATTGTGTATTATATATATATATATATATATATATATATATATATATATATATTTCTATAACAAAAATATTAAACGTTAATATTTAAAAAAATATATTGTTTTAAAATATACAGTTGTATATTTTATATATAGAAAAAGAAAGAAAAAGAAAAAAGATAGTTTGATCGGTGTGGGGTGGGCACGTGATAAACTCCATAGCCGACATCTCAAATCGCGACAACAATCACGAGCTACGTCATGGGCTCTATGACCAGTTAAGCTCATTTTGTTCGTGTCAATTATTTAAAATATTTTAATATGAATAGTTTTTTGTTTTTTTTTTTCTTTACAACTTGTAATATGAATGGTTAACAATGAAACTTTTTAAAAAATAATTATTTTTTTTGTCTCAGTTTTATTAAATTGTTTAACGAAAATATTATTTCATATTATATAAGATGTATTATTTTTTTAAAATAATTAATTTCTTTTCAATTCTATGATATGATATTAATACATTTATGTTATATAATATATTTTTTAATGTAATTGACATGTTTACATATATTATATCGATATCAAATAAATAATTTTTATTTTATTAATATCATTATGTGATATTGTTTATTAATATTTATAAAAATATTATAATAATTTATTTTATAAAGAAAAAATTTACAGAGTAAATAATAATAAAATAAAATCTAAATTAGAAGAAAAAAAGATTCCTGCTATTAAACATGAAGGGGTGATTGACCTAGCCGACAAGACAACAGTAAGAATCATATCCATACACTTGACTTGTGAATTTTTATTCGTCGTTGTATGGTAGCAAACTCGGAAATAACTCAAAATTTATCTTGCCTGAAAAATTTAACATTTTCCAAAAAATGAAGTTAAAAATATGTATTATTTGCATTTAATTTATATTTTAAAAACTATTATTTTTCAGAAAATATTTTTTAAAAAGTGTTTCCATGAAAGAAATAAGTATAATATAATTTGTCGTTCTCATACTGAAAAAAAAAATAATTATTTATATATTATTTATTTATCAATAATATGTTATTATTTTATTATTGTTATGTTAGGAGAAATTCAGTTAGGAAGTACCTTTTATTTTATTATTTAAATACATAACTTTTTTATCTGAAAGGTGATTTGATTGTTGGGCTACTTTTTATCCCTCTTAATAAAGAGATTATTTTCATCTAGCTTAAATATACAATTCGAAAATCGATTTCCATAATTTTTAAAACAGCTAAGAACAGTATATATTATTAAATAATTACATTTTAAAAAAATAATGTTCTTTTATTTTGTTAGCTTTAAAATTTTAAAATAAAACATGGAATAACATTACATAGGTCCAAGTTCTCTATAACAACATAACTACTAGAATTAATTGATACTTATATATGCACTACGGTATTTGGGAGTTACAAGCCTTCAAAGAAAAGAATAAGACAAGCACTAAAAATCATCTATTATACATAATAAATATTTTTATCTTCTTCATTTGGACGTATCATATACTGTCGGAGAAAAACATTGATTACAGATGAAAACAACCACTAATGTTTCTCTTCTCACGTGCATTAATTATATAAACTATCGTATAATAATCATCACCATATATGTATTTTAATGTTTGTTTTATATATTCTGTGAGTTATTCCTTTAGTAATTACAAATTGCTTCTTAAGTTTGTAGTACGTATAATTCTAAAAGGTATTATAATATAATATATATCTTCACTAAAATACTATTATGTAATATTTTATCTATTTAATTCAGATTATTTTCAATTAATTATTTGTATACATTATTAAATTTGAGACATTAACAATAGTCTTGATACAAAGAAAAAAATTATAAAAAGAGTATAACTATGGGATAAAAGAAGTATTTCACTTTTTTTCAACTGGACCAATTAGGATAAATTAATCCTTGAACCCACTTTTTTTAAAATAAAATAAAATCTTATAAAGTTTTATTTTGTATTTTTTTTATTTCTGTATATTTTTTCAAGTTTTTATTGTGAGTGTTGTCTAGTTATGAAAAAAAATATATAGTATTTTTGTTCAATGAGTTAATTTTAAAAAATCATTTTTTAAACCAAATAAAACTTTGTTATTTTTTTGTCATATATATATATATATATATATATATATATATATATATATATAT